CCAGGAAGAAAAAAATATTTTCTTTTCAAAAGGACAGATAGGAAGTGAGATCAGTGACTTCCAGGCCTTTGTAAGTAGCAGGGCTTGGCTTCCTCCCCAGGTCAATGGTTTGTAGATGATTATCAGTCTCATGTAAGTAGAAGAGGAAAAGAACCAGAGGAAAAATTAAAATCAGGATGTTATTGAAAGAGAAATGGAACAACCACATTTTTTCTAAACACTGTTGAAAATGGTCTAGGATTCTCTCGCATTTTAACATTTCACAAAGAAAATTTTCTAGGATTCTCAAATTTTAAATCATCTTTGCTCATATTTCCATCCTTCCTTTTAATTTGTCTTGCTCAGATACTGATGTTGATAACATACCATAAGTATTAGTAGGAAAAGCACCCAAAGAATCATTCCTCACCCTGACTTTGCACTTGGTTCAACAAGTTTCACACCCATAAGTACAGCACAGAAATCCTATAATGATAAGCTCTTTTAATTGTGGCAAAAATACGTAAAACATAAAATTTGCCATATTAACCATTTTTAAGTGTACAGTTCAATGGCATTAAGTGCATTCTCACTGCTCAGACATTGCTACCATCCATCTCCAGAACTCTTCATCTTCCTGAACTGAATCTCTGTACCCATTAAATACTCTCTCCCCATTGCCCCTCCCCCAGCCCCTGGCACTCACCATTCTACGTTGTCTCTCTGAATTTGATTATTTTAGGGACCTCATATAAGAGGAATCATACAGTATCTGTCCTTTTGTGACTGGGTTATTTCACAAAGCATAATGTCCTCAAGGTTCATCCATGTTTTAACATACTCCGTTGTATATAAAAACCACATTTTATCTTTTTGTCCCTCAATGGAATTTGGGTTGCTTCTACTACGACTAGTGCTGCCATGAATATCAGTGTACAAGTATGTCTTTAGTCCCTGCCTCCAAGTCTTTTGGGCATATACTCAGAAGTCAGCACAATATGCCCTTTTTATCCTTCTATAGCCAGCAGTTCTCAACCTGTGGGTCACGACCCCTTTGTAAAAATGAAGGTTGAGAACCATTACTCTATGCACACATTGTTCCTTGTTTGTTTATACCAGGCACCAAAGTCTAATTTTTATTAAATATGAATAGTATCCATAAATTGCCTCCCAATATCCTTTTTTACTGTTTACTGCCTTTTACAGAGTCTGTCACTTTACGTAATGGCACAAACATTAGTAAGTTGTGTCGAGATACAAGCAGCTTAAAAGCCAGTTGAAGATTCAGTGAGTTGATCTCAACAAATAAGAACGTCACCACCAACAGAATCATCTGTAAAGGACATCCACTTGAAGGAGACTCAGGAGTGGAAATCAATAATCAGCCCCAGATCTATGTCTTTGAAAGGAAAGGTAGGAGTCCCAAGGATTACTTCCAGTTTTACAAAGGTTTGTCATTTCTTAAGCAGCCAGTTGACTTACATTGCTTGATCTAAAACATTAATCTAACTGCCTGTTAAAGTTTACCTATAATTTTGCTAATGGAAAAGTAAGTTCTCAGACTTATGGCTAGTAAACTTCGTAGGGCCACAAAATTTTAAGAACAATAAAGGTTCATTAATCACTAGGAGGTATACTATACCTCTCACCATGTTTCACCTATATTTTTTAATTTCTGAAATGATCTAATTGCCACCAAACCAAATCACTGATCTGGCAGACACTTTTACAAATCTAGTCACTGAAACTTCCACACATGTGGCAAATAGTATTAATATTTATGAATCAAAGAAAAGTAACCTAAATTCATAATAATTTTACTCATCTGTAATGTAGTGATAGGTATTCTAGGACCCATAGTACCAGTGATAATGTGCACATGGAGGTGGGCGGGCACTCATGAAAACCCAGCACTGAGCCCTCTTCAGGACCACAGCATAAGATGACACTTGAACACAAAAAGCACAAGAAGCAATCAGTAAAGGACTGAGACAACAGAATGATGTGTTAACGGATCCAGTGTAGACAGGGAGGAGGAGAGGAATTAAGAGAATGGGAAAACAAGTCACTGTGGACTTAAATAGCTTCAAGGGATGTGAGATTGCAAGTGACCTCTAAAGACTGAAACAGATGGAGAAGAGGAGACGCTGCTGGCACAAGAGCCATGGCATAGATGGATCCCAAGGTACAAAGACCTGAGTCTGAAAAAAGAAGAGCCATCAGCTAATGATGGCTGTATTTCCTGTGACATTCCTATCTCTGGCCATGGCAGATAATACTTTACTTCATAAATATTCTGAGAGTTGGGAACCATCTTATGATTGTTTTAAACCTACATTTACTTCATCCCTCTCTCTTTTTTATTTTCAACACTCTTTTCCCATCCTTAGGCAAATATATCTAACCAATAAATCTTTTCTCCATACAAGTCA